GCGATGCGAGCAGCTGATTGTGCAGCAGATGGCCGCGGACATGATCAATTTCGAAGTGCTAGTTCTGGATCAAGAGAAAGCCTGCTGTGCTGTGCCGATGATTTTATTTTGCGAGGATGGATTGAGGAAGGGGGACACACATGCTTAAATATCGACTGTCGGCAATAATCAGATTCATACTCATAAAATACTTGTTAACATGTTTTGTGTGTGTGTGTGTGTGTGTGTGTGTGTGTGTGTGTGTGTGTGTGTGTGTGTGTGTGTGTGTGTGTGTGTAACTCTGCCCACTAATCCGTTACGTATTTTGTTTCTTGTTGACATAAATACAAAAATTATGCAAAAGAAAAGAAGTAAAATAATGTACACAACTAAAGTGTATGATCCAGTATCGAACCCGCGACCTTCACCATTGCAGGCGAACGCGTTAGTCACTAGACCACCGGCTCTAGGTGCTACATCTCCTCGCAAATTCATACCTTTAAAACACTATGAGTGCTGGAGGCTTTACAGCAACGTATGTAAAATAGAGCCTTTTTTATTATTATAAACTTGTCGCTTCCGTACAAATGTGAAACAATATATCTGACGGAGATTTCTGCGGAGTTTCTGCACTTTCCTGTCAACAGAAACAGACATGCTGTCTGCCGCTGCCTTCCGCCTCCAGGCTTTTTCAGACTAATAACTGAAAACTAAAGACTGCACACGTTAACTGAACAAAGATTACAGCAATACACCACAACTTTCTCGCTACAAATATCGTCAAAACATATTTATGTGCTCAAACGATCTTAGTTTATCAAATTTTCTCTTAGAACAGCCTGAACAGAGTCCGCCATACTTTCTCTGTTTCTCAGTCCTACATGGACCAATCACATAGCTGTTCTGCATTTCTTCATTTGCATGTAAAGGCCGGATTTGCTCACTAGCTAACTAGTGAGCAGTACAGCGGTCGAACTAGTTAACATGTTACACAGAATGCCAGCCAAGTGTGTATTTATTCAAATTCCACAAATTTACTAGTTTTAGGGGCATTTTTCTGCAGCTAGTTAACTAGTGACAGTGTTTTGTGTTCACTACTTAACATGTAAGGCTCAGTTTGCCCTCTATAAGCTAGTGAGAAAAAATTATAATGCAGATATGCTCACTAGTTAACTAGTGAGTGCTTCCTGTCCCATTACAAGTGAACTAGAAAGGCCAAATATGTCAACTAGTTAACTAGTGAAGGTAAATTTGTCACTAGTTAACTAGTAAGAACACATTTTTACATAACAAGTAAACTAGATTGCTCCAAAAACAGCAACTAGTGTGCGTCTTGTGCGCACTAGTTAACTAGTGAGCATATCTGCACCTCACTAGTTAACTAGTGAGCATATCTGCACCTCACTAGTTAACTAGTGAGCAAATCCGCACCTCACTAGTTAACTAGTGAGCAAATCCGCACCTCACTAGTTAACTAGTGAGCAAATCCGCACCTCACTAGTTAACTAGTGAGCAAATCCGCACTTCACTAGTTAACTAGTGAGCAAATCCGCGCCTCACTAGTTAGCTAGTAAGCAAATCCGCACTTCACTAGTTAACTAGTGAGCATATCTGTGCCTCACTAGTTAACTAGTGAGCAAATCCGCACCCTACTAGTTAACTAGTTGGCGTTTTGGGGCCCACTAGTTAACTAGTGAGCATATCTGCACTTTACAAGTTAACTAGTGATGCTTTTTTGCACCTTACTAGTTAACTAGTGGGTGCTTTAGGGCACACTAGTTAACTAGTGAGCAAATCTGCACCTCACTAGTTAACTAGTGAGCAAATCCGCACATCACTAGTTAACTAGTGAGCATATCTGTGCCTCACTAGTTAACTAGTGAGCAAATCCGCACCCTACTAGTTAACATGTTGACATTTTGGGGCCCACTAGTTAACTAGTGAGCATATCTGCACTTTACAAGTTAACTAGTGATGCTTTTTTGCACCTTACTAGTTAACTAGTGGGCGCTTTAGGGCGCACTAGTTAACTAGTAAGCAAATCTGCACCTCACTAGTTAACTAGTGAGCATATCCGCACCTTACTAGTTAACTTGTGGGCGATTTGGGGCCCACTAGTGAACTAGTGACACTTATTTTGCACCTCACTAGTTAACTAGTGGACATTTGTACCCTCTCTAGTTAACTAGTGAGCAGTTCTGCCTTCACAAGTTTACATGTAAGTGTCACACTGAAGCCACTACTAGTTCACTAGCTGAGGTTCCTCTGGCCAGCATGTTAACTTGTGTGCCGCATGCAAATGTTTGGGGTGGGATTTTACGAAATTCCGCACTGTGATTGGTTGTCATATTTTATTTTGACACAGGGAGCCAATAGAGAGTCTTAATTTGAGAAATTCTCCGCCTCCTAATTAGAATTCTGCGCAACTAGCTAGCTAGTGTGAATGTAGACTTGAACTAGTTTACTAGTATACATTTATGTCCTCACTAGTTAACTAGTTTGGACAATGGATGCATCAACTAGGTAACTAGTGAGCCTGCTGCCATCAACTAGCTAGCTAGTGAGCCATTAATGGTTCACTAGTTAACTAGTGGCACTGACCTACTCCAACTAGTTAACTAGTTAGGAGTTAAGCCTTCACTAGTTAACTAGTGTGCACATTTTGGCCATCAATAGTTAACTAGTGAGACACAAAAAACCTTCAACTAGCTGACTGGTATGCACTTTGGCCTTTACTAGTTAACTAGTGAGCCATTTATGTGACAACTAGTTAACTAGTGAAGCCAAAATGTGTTCACTAGTTAACTAGTGCACATTTATGTCTACCACAAGTTAACTAGTGTGCACATTTTGGCCATCACTAGTTAACTAGTGAGACACAAAAACCTTCAACTAGCTGACTGGTATGCATTTTGGTCTTTACTAGTTAACTAGTGAGCCATTTATGTGTCAACTAGTTAACTAGTGAAGCCAAAATATGTTCACTAGTTAACTAGTGCGCATTTATCTCTACCACAAGTTAACTAGTGTGCACATTTTGACCCTCACTAGTTAACTAGTGAGACAAATACCTTCAAGTAGCTGACTGCTATGCATTTCTGCTTTTACTAGTTAACTAGTGAGCAGTTTTTGTGTCAACTAGTTAACTACTGAAGCCTAAATGTGTTCACTAGTTAACTAGTGCGCATTTCTGCTGTCACTAGTTAACTAGTGGGCACATTTTCACCCTCGATATTTAACTAGTTGACACAAACATGTCTAACTAGTTAACTAGTGGACAGAAATGGCTTACATGTTCATGACAATTCTGGCTGATATCCTGATATCAGAATAAATGCTCATTTGGCTTGCCATACTGTTTTGAGCTAAAATCTCATTTAATGTGTTAACGAATGGTTAATTTGAAAAGGAAATGTGTAATACCAGCCAAACATTTTCAGCCGCGTATCCAGTGTCAGGTCGTGGGGGGCAGTAGCCTAAGCAAGGAGGCCCAGACTTTCCTCTCCCCAGCCACTTGGGACAGCTCCTCCGGGGGAATCCCAAGGCCATCCGAGAAACATAGTCCCTCCAGCGTGTCCTGGGTCTTCCTTTGGGTCTCCTGCCCGGTCAGACGTGCCCAGAAAACATCACCAAAGAGGCATCCAGGAGGCATCCTAATCAGATGCCCAAACCACCTCAACTGGCTCCTCACAATTTGGAGGAGCAGCAGATCTACTCCAAGCCCCTCCTGGATGACTGAGCTTATCACCCTATCTCTAAGGGAGACGCCCTGCACAGAAAACTCATTTTGGCCACTTGTATCAGCGATATTGTTCTTTCGGTCACTACCCAAAGCTCGTGACCAGGTGAGGGTAGGAATGTAGATGAAACAGCAAATTGAGAGCTTTGCCCCCCGGCTCAGCTTTCTCTTCACCACAACAGACTGGTAGAACAACCACAGTAATGTAGATGCAGCAACAATCCACTTATTGATCTCACGCTCCATCTTTCCCTCACTCATGAACAAGATCCTGAAACACTTAACACCTCAACTTGACACAGGACCTCGTCCCTGACCTGAAGAAGGCATTCTACCCTCTTCCAATTCAAGATCATGGTCTCAAATTTAGAGGAGCTGATCCTCATCCCAGATGCTTCACACTCGGCTGCAAACCGTTATCTTTTAAATACCATCATCACTCTGAGTTTAACATGTATGCTGAACATGAAAACAACCTTCTACCCCTATTTCCTGCATGAGTCGCCTATAGTAAATAGACGGGGAAACTCTCTGTTCAGCCTTGGCTTGTGACTGCAAAGGATTGTTGATCTAATGGCGAGGAGAGAGCAGAGTGCATATCAACTAGTAGAAGCTAACTATAAGCATTAGCAACTACACAAAATGGTAGAAAATGTCCCGGTTTATGTTATTTGTAGACATAAAATCTATTTTTTTTATAAATGAAATAAAAGTAGACAAAAGCAGCAGATGAGCTGTGCTGCTCTCAGCCAATCAGCGGTGAGATGTCTGCATTCATGAATATTAATGAGCAGGACTCCAAATTCTGCCCTTTTCCATCGTTTCTTTTATGATCAACTTCTACTTCCTGACAAAAGAAGCAGTTTTTTTCCAGAAAATGACTCAAGGCATCACCACCACCATACCACAGCGAAGGGCTGTTTCTCCTTCTCTGGTAATATTGAGCGGAGAACCACACAAGTGGTGTTCTGTTGCTAAATACGTGAGTGTGTAATTAGCGGAGGACCCAGGTAAGTGTGCTGGTTTGGTGAGACAGACAACCTGATGGTCCACATGATGCTTTTGGACCAAGTTGTGGTATTGGCTAAGGGTTTTAGACACATGCGAGATAATTTTTTTTTTCACTTTTTTAAATCACCACAGAATATTTATAGCTATACTATGTTAGAACGTTATTAACAGGCATACAAATGTTTTAAGATAGCTTGTTTTCCAGATTTGCAATTGTAACTTAAAGCATTGGTTTGGAACTGAAAGTTTTGACTAACTGGGTTCCTCTTACCGATAGGTGTTCCCACTCCGTAGCCCTTAGAGTCTATAAGCCCTCCAATCTGTGTAAGGTTGCAGTTTCTCTGGCTGATGTATTCAATGCTTGTGGACTCCATCAGCATGGCGTAGTCCGTTGTCAGGACTCGTGTGATGCCTTCCTTGTTATTCTTGACCAGGGCGGTCTTCCTGCTACTCATAAAGGCCCACATCTTCTCATACGTGGATATCTTAGACTTCTGAAAAGCCCAAACAGACGAGCAGGTAAGACGTATGATTCATTTGTATCAAATACAAAGAGGTGGCATGCACAATACATGTTGCACACACACTTGACTAGATTAGCATGTAAAATAAATCACGTTTCATTGTGGATATGTCTCTGGTTTGCCAGAGGAAACGGGACAGCTGTGTTCTAATTCCCCAGCAGCAATTTGTCGAAGTTACCAACACAGCCAGCTCCTTCCCATACAGGCAGCCATAATCGCTAGCTAAAATCTGGGAGGATAAAGCCCCGCATGATTCCAACACGCTGAGCCACAGGATGCGAAGGAAGTTGGTTGATGTGAGCCAGAAACTGGACAGCCCTAACTCAGTATATTCTAACATTATAGTAGATTATTGTAGTATATTATTTAGGTGCTTTTTAAAGGATTTTTCTTATTTTTTATTTCATTTATTATTAAAATAGAAAAAAAAACATCACTAACAAATAAAATGAGGTTTCTCAAAACAAGAAAATGAAAAGGGAACAGAAAGAAGAAAACTTAAGTTATCTGCCCCTTTTTAACTAAAATGACATTTTTGCAATGAAATAACAATAATTATAAATTGGCCTATACAAAGTAGTTGCTTGACTGGTTTGCTAACTTGAGTTCAATTTTTAAAGAAGAATGAAAAAATTAATAGTAATAATAATTCAAAAAGCAAAAGGATTTTTGCACATACATATATACATTAAAGTGCATCACATGCCCATATGGTCGCACATACTTCATTTGAACATATACATATAGATATACACACGTATCCACTACATATACACATAAAAAAACATGCATACCGGTACATATTTATACATACACACATGAATATACCTACACACATTCTGCTATAGCTTTATTTATTTATTTAATTTTTTTTTAATATAATTGATTTTCAAGTATATGATTCCAGTATTTCACTTTTAATTAGTTTTTTGAAAGTAAATATCGTTTTCGCATCCTTGATTACATTACCTAGCTTATTCCATATTTTAACTCCATATATAGAGACACAGCGCTCCTTTATAAGTATTCTATGCTTAGGTATTGTAAATAATTCATGTCCTTTTAGTTCATGTTTACTCTGTCTTTTTATAAATCTTTTAAGTAAATTTTTTAGGAAGGATTTTTTGTTCGCATTATACGTAAATTTAGAAATATTGTAGTCCACTAGGTCATAGAATTTTAATGTTTTTGTTTTTATGAATAACAGGTTTGATGGATCTCTGTAATTACTCCTTATAATGATTCTTATTGCTTTTTTTGCAATATAGAATTTGTATAAGTTTTGTATGTTGTGCCCCAGATTTCTATACAATAGTTCAAATATGGTCAAATAAGTGAGTCCTATAATAAATATAGGGAGTTATCATCCAGTGACCATTTTACTCTATGTAACATTGCAATTGTTTTAGCTATTTTAGTTTTCACATTGTTTAAATGTGGCTTCCAAGATACATTTTCATCGATTATAACTCCCAAAATTTTGACTTCTTTTACTCTTGTAATATTAATATCATCTATATTTAATATACTTGTATCATTTGAGTTACTGTTACTAAATACCATGAAACATGATTTATCAGTGTTTAATGAGAAATTATTCCCATCAAGTGATAATTTTTTTTTCATCTCAGTTTGTACTGTTTCTACCATCTGTTTGATATTGTCTCCTGCATAATAAAAGGTAGTGTCATCTGAAAATAGAATACATTTTAATATATTTGATATAGAGGCAATATAATTCATATACATAATAAATAGTTTCGGACCCAGTACTGACCCTTGTGGTACTCCACAAGTAATATCACGTAGATTTGATTTAATGTCACTTATTTGTACATATTGTTTCCTATCATTCAATCAATCAATCAAAGATACTTTATTAATCCAAGAGGGAAATTATTCAAATAACTTGTTAACTATTATAGAGCCATTGCTTTAATACCATATTTACTGTTTTTTAAGAAGAATTTCGTGATCTACTGTATCAAACACTTTTTTAAATCAATAAAAATACTTATGAAATGGTTCTTTTTGTCAATTGCTTCTGATATTTCTTCTGTAAGTTCCATTAGTACCTTGGAAGTTGAATGATTAGTTCTAAAACCATGACTGTCGTTTAATATATTTTCTTTCGTCAGGAATTCATCTAGCCTAGTAATAAATAGTTTTTCTAATATTTTTGAAAACTGCAACAATAAGGATATTGGTCTGTAATTGGAAAAAATTTGTTTTTCACCACTTTTGTATATCGGTATGACTTCGGTACATGTTTATGCAACAAGAGGGTAATAAAATGCCTTAAAACCTATTTGAAAAATAAGTTGTTTTGTAGAAACAGGTTCATCCCTTGAGTTCTGAGCTCATCATGATTAAACTGGAAGTTCACCTTAAAGAAGGTCATGGTGGATCCATCCCTCACTGCTCCGTATTCAATTCGTGTTTGTTTGGCGAGGTCATCTGCCGAGTCGATGGGCGCGTCCATTCTTTCCACAGTGAGGAAGGCAGCCAAGTTGGCCGTATAGGAGGAGATGATGATTAAAGTAAAAAACCACCAAATACCCCCGACTATACGTGTGGACAGAGCTTTAGGCATCACCTCTGAGCCTGTAGGCATATCAAAAGTAATGATTGATCAGCTGTGCACTAATTTTACAAAACATGATTTTTTTGTTCTATGAAATAACTTTTAAAGCTTGGTTCACTCGGTAAGATAATCAAGACGATTTTGACTAGATTTCTTAAAGTTGTGCTTGATTATGGTACCGACTCTTATGATAATCTTATAAGATAAATCTGCCTTTTGTGGTGTGTTATGAGTTCTTTGGTACTCTCCGAAGGACGTCGGGACAGCTCAGAAGATAAAACCGGGCTTTCAAACATGTTGGATTGTCTTGGTCCGACTTTTGGAGACAAACAAAAGCTGGTCAGAAAACAAGGTGATGGAAGAGTAATGCAGGCTCTTCCTCCACCATGTTTGTTTACTTTGAAATCATCTTTAATCTCACAAGTATTCCAATCTGAGTGTGGAATTTCCATGAGTGGAAGCGGTTTGTGTGTTGTGTATTTGCCGAGTTGCTGCACAGGGGACATTGGTGTATTCATGTTTTTTTTACCACCACGTGTGTGGGTCTCTCTCTCTTTGAAAATCGACCAACTATTTTAAATTTCCGCTGTGTGAACTGGACTTCAGATGCAGTTGCCTCAGTGTAAAATTTAAATCAAGAAGCAAAAATGTGTAAGGCACGACTAGCAACATCTAATAGAAAAACGGCCAAAAAAGGGAAATGGGATTAGGGTTAGAAAACTTAACAGATTTATTTATTACGTTAGTTGTTTTCAATGTGTGTCTTGTTTTAGTTTGGGATCGATAACTGATTTTTATCCACGTCACTTAGACAAAAGCAACATTCACAGAAAACAAAAAGATCACATTACTTTAAACTGAAAACAGATCAAATAAACAATCATCAGCAGAAACAGCATGAAATTAATGAACGTAAGACAAACAAAATGTGATCAATTTGGAAATGCCAACAAGGAGACCCTGTCGAGATCTTAACTGAAAACAAAAAATATCTATCTTATTCATATCTTGCAACATTTTCAAAATTCATTCATTTTCTGCTAAATTTGTTGCATCCTCTGGAACAGCTTCTTTGAAATCAGCTGCTTTAAAAGTAGGTGACGTACCTTGCCGCATGAGAGCTCCAATCCCAAACCAGAAACTGTTGAGTAAAGTGAAGTTGTTCTGTACCAGAGTTGATGAGGCATTGCATGAATGTGGATTGTACCACTCATAGGGGGTAAACCTTCAGAACGATGAGAGAAAAAAAACAAAAGGAAAGAGAAATCCCACATTATTTACAAACCAGCTGCCTCATCTTCCTTACAAAAGTTTTACAAACCTACCTAAGAATTTTCATTACTAATGAAATATTTCATTTTGGACTGTTTTTATTGTTTAGACCAATCAGCCCTTTGTTTGGCAGCAGTGGCGGTTTTACCATTAGGCATAGGTCGGTGGCTGCTTGGGGCCCCCTAGCCCTGACTGCTGGCACCCTTCTGTTAATGCCACAATGGACTATTCCTTTAAGATGCCGATGCACAATCAGGAAGTGATTGGTAGTCATTCCACTCCACTCCAGTTGGTGGCAGTAATGCACCAAATTGTTGTTTGCCAAGTGCCATGAGACCACAAATAAGATGAAGAATAGAAAGCAGAAAAAGAGAGGCGGGAGCGTTCGTAACAAACTCAAAGCAATAGTCAAAACATTAAGCATGAAATGGAGTTATCCTAGTGGCTCCAATAAGAGAAAGATGCAGCTTGCTTCAAAAAAAGCTTTTATCTTCACTTCCAAAAGTGACGTCTTTTTTCAATGTAAACATCAAAAGGAAGCAGAAATGGAAAGACAATGGAAAATGTTTAAAGGGAGGAAAACATGGACCAAAATGGAAAATAGAAAAGAAAAAAAAAGAAAAGCAAAAGCACAGGAGCACTGACAAGAAGAAGGAAGCAGAGCAAATATTGAAAGCACTCAAAGGGAGAGAAAGACAGGAAAAAAGAGGACTGATAAAAAGGGAAAATAACTAATGTCAGAAGAGGGTAGAGTTTCGCAAATCCAGTTAAAGATAAGATTGTCAAAAATTTTGTGTAAGGGGGCCCCATGTCTGTGTTCGCCTTGGGCCCCTAAAATGCTAAATCCGCCACTGTTCGGCAGTAAAGAGCAACTATTATCACATGCACCGATCTGTGTTCTTACCTCGCGATCACAAAGAGCACACAGCTGACGCCGGTGCAGGCTAACAACACGTACATCCAGATGTCCGCAGACAGAGGGTTAAGGAAGGAGAACACTCCTGGATTGGTACCATTGGGCTTCCTGTACAAGATGCTGATCCCTAAAGTCATGAAGGGCTTAGAGAAGTCGATCACTTTCTCTCTGACGTACGTGATGGTCAAAGGAGCCACGGCGAGGTCTGCAACCTAATGTAAAAACACACCTTTTAAGGTGTTTCCCTCCATTTTTACTGCAACAAATAACAGATAATTAAAAAACAACAGAAGTCCAACTAGGCAAAGGAATCTCTCATTACCCAGACTACAATTAGATGTTTTTGACAGTTTTTAGTAAATTCATCAGAGCAAAGTAAATAAATGACTCTTTGTTGATCACTAAATAATTATGGGAACCACTGATTCCCTCCGCCACACATGTGGATTTTCACTCACGTGGTCGATCAGCTCCCGAACCATCCCGTTCCACTCTCCCTTATCGTTCTGGGCTCCATATTTCCCATCACCTACCAGTCTGACTTCATACGTGAAACCCAAAATGTTCGAAAGCTCCTTCAAGAGGTCCATGCAGTATCCCTCATAGCGATCGTTCCCAACCAGTTCTTTGTCTGACTTTTTCACCATCACATATGGATTCTCCTGCACAGGTAAGATATTATTTTGAAAATAAACGATGTAGTGAACAATGAGACACCTCGGTTTTACCTCTCCTGACCTGGATGGTGGTGACAATAAGAGTCCTGTTGGCCAGAGAGTCCGTCACGTTGGTGGTCTTGTCCCTGTTCGGTTGGTTCATCAGGGTCATCCCCTTGTAGGAGTTCCATACGGCAACCTGGAAACACCAATCAGGAATTTACTAATAAAATGATCATCTTAGAATGGTTTGGTTGATAGTTTATATCAGTTGAAGCATTGAATAAACTATTTAGAGAGGAATAACTTTCACATCCATCTGTGTCCAAGTCTAAGGATTAGTTCTTTTATGCAAAACATGACAAAGTGTCTTTTCATTTCCAAGACTAAGAAGGATGCCACAACTAGCATAAAAACCAGATCATCTGACTCAATGAACAGGAAACATAAAGAAGAGCAAAGGTTTAAAGTGTTGACATTCCTGATTGCTTTTAAATTTTCAGCTCCTCCCGACGTTCTTAAACATTTACCTCCACTCGGCTTTGTTCTGATAAATCTGTGCAAAGTCCTGAAAACAATTTGCTCAAGGTCAGTATAAAACTTTACAAACGGTTTAATGAAAGTTTACATTTCTTTGGAGCAATATGTTAATTATTTAAAATAAAGCTTGCTCGTGCTGAAAAACCCACCCTACATGCATTATGCACATGTAGGAAACAGCTTTTTGTATTAGTTTTTGATAATCAGATGCCTTTTTAAATGATTTTAAATAGAATTTTTATTGAAATTATAATGTTATTGCATAAACAAAACATAAATGGTCTAATGGGGAATAAATGGGAGTCACGGCATAAGGAACAAGAAAAAGGCAGAATTGGAGGAGTTTAGGCGGTGGTAGGGTCTGAATGGGGCTGCCTACTTTGTATGACTAAGATGTTTAATCCCAGCAGTTATCAGATTAGAACAGCTGGATTTCTAACCCTTTAAATCTGAGGGTCGGGGGAGCTCATGACGGAGGCAATAAAGTTAAGCGCATTAACTTATTGTTACACTTTATTGTTAAGTAAAGACAACATAATTTCCCCTAGTAATTAACTCTGAAAAAGTAAGCAGTGTATTTTGTTGTTTTTATTCAAAATATTGTTCTGGATTATCTACCTTGATCTTAGTCTACACTATAATATAGATCATACAGAAATATGTAAATAAATTAATATTAAAATAGAATCCAGGTCAGTTAACCCTAAAAATACACACATGTATTCTCGGTCCCTTTTAAAAGTACTACAGACTCTTCCATGTTCAGGATCAAATCATACCGGACAAACTGTAGTAGATAGAGGACGACCTATAACAGCTAGAAAGTTCAGGAAAAACGTTTCTTTCTCCTTTAAAATAAGTCAAAAATATTCACAGTAAATCATTTCTCAAAACCTCTATTTTGTTTATTCCCATCCTCCTCTTCAGGATGAATTTGACAGTCCAGTGCTCAAGAACTAACACAACCAACAATTTGTCATGGCCTGCGTTCTGCATCTCCCTCATATGTCTCCTTGTGTTCTCCATCCCTCTCTAGGTTCCCCTTATGTGTCTCCTTGTGTTCCTCATGTGTCTCCTTGTCTGCATCCCGCCTCAGGTGCCTCCCTGTGGCCCCCAGCCCCCTCCAGGTTTCCCTCATGTTTCCCTTAGTCACTTTTCTTATCATTAGTTTTCTGTTATTAGATTGTCTAGTTTGTTTCTCCCTTTAGGTATCATCCTCCCTTGTCTCTTCCAGTGTTTTAGGTTCTCTTGCTCCTAGATCATTAGTTTTATTATCTTTAGTTCTCCAGTGTCTTATTTCTACAAGTGTTTTAAGTGATTCAGTTCAGTAGCTTTGTTTAACTGGTTTAGTTGGGGCTTTCCTCACCTGCCCTGTTCTGCTCCTTTTGGTCATTGGTATCACCTGTGCCCAGTCCTCCTAATCACCCAGCCCCTGAGTATAAAACCCTGTCCTGTCTTTCTGTGATTGTCGGTTCATTGTTTGTGTCAGCGCTGTCTCGCCCCCTCTCTAGGTATTTTGAATTTCTCTAGGTCTCTTGTGTTTTTGGATATTCCCAGGGTTTGATTTTTGGTTTTTGGCTTCCAGCCCTTTGGATTTACCCCTAAATAAAGGATTTTTACGTTTTCACTACTCCTGCCTTGTGCCCTCCTGGGTCTGCATCTTGGGTCCTAACCTCCCCCAACTCACAGCGTGACACTATTCCTTCATGATGACCCTAAAGTCGGGTGTTTTATGAGATGAGTTTATCATATAATCATAATTCCTTTGAGGGGGAGGCTGGTAAAAGCCAAAAGTAGTGAATAAAATAAAAATTGCTGCATAAATCACGACTTGTGCACCTTGACAGCTGCTGACTGCCCGCATAAGTCTGTTTGACAGCAGAGGCAGATGGAGCTGAAGAACAACTGGGAGGCTTGATTTGAGGGGATGAACTGGTTCTATATAAGTCTGTAAAGCAACAGTAAATAGTACGCTTGTTTTTGTTTTTTAAAGGGGATCATATTTTATTGTGAGAGGACTTGACATTTTTTTAGAAGATCAATTGTAGCAAGAGAAAATGCACATTCTAAGAATATTTGATGAAGATGAAAGTAAATATGAAATATACTTTGAGAGGAGAACAATGAAGCATCAGAATACTCGGTCCAAAATTAAAACCAAGCCAAAATCTTTAAATCAGACATCTTGCATCAATAAGACCCTGCACACAAATTGGATGATTTTAGACTCAGCTGACACTTAAACTTTTAATTTGAAATGTAAGTATTCCAATAGTTAAATCATCCATGCATATAATTAAAATGCAAGTCATTGAAATTAATATTTGCTAAATAATAATTAAGAGACCGGGGAGGATGATTGACACCCGATAACCTCTGAGATGATGCCTATGAGCTAACTGAGCTAACCGATGCTAACGGAGGTTGGCGAGGCATTGGCTTCACTTTTGGCAGGCGGAGTTTTCCCCAGCAGCTCAGCAACAGAACCGCGTTCACTCACGGACATTCTACAGCCAGACGGGAAGGACTGTGCTTCTGTCACCTCACTTTCTGATTGACTACACGTAAACAGGCAGCACGTTCGTTTTTTTTCTCGAAAGTCTGACCAGGACAATCCAAAATGTTTCAAAGCCCGGATTTCTAACCGAAGGTGTTCAGACATCGTTTCCAGTTTACCAGAACACGTGTAATGTGTATCTTCAGAACCGTTACAGTAATCATACGCAAGATTGTTGGAAGGGGCAGGGCTGGTTTAAAAAAAAAACTTCACATGTCAACTAGGCTTAAAGGTTCAATATGGAACACAGAAACTCTGGCTAACTCTGGTGTTCAGAGGTGGTATTGCAACAGCAGAACTAATTTTCCAGCCATTGGGATGTTGGTTCGCTGCTGACATGTCACAGCACCAATGTTCAGTGACAAATTGTACAGGATAAGGACTAATGTCTACTAACACGTTTATTTTACAACAATATTTACCGTAAGAACATCTTCTGCGCTCAGAATCAGCTGCTACACTTGTCAAGTCCGCCGCTTTACACAGTCCCAGCCTCGCCTTGCTGAGCAGACTTTTTAGCGCTATGTTGCCCTCTAGTGGCTGGTAGATGTAAACATAAACCCAGTGTTGTGCCCGACATAATAGAATTTTGATTATTTATTTTTTAAGAATAGCTTTTAAAGGAAAAACTGTACATTCATTCTGCACACCTCTAAATGCCTCGTGGAGGTATATATTTTTAATATAGCTTTTTATTAAAATGTTCCGTATTCTAACTTTAAGTGTCAAATTATTATTGAATTAATTAATGGAGTTATTAATAAATGTGAGGTAAAATTCATTTCTACATATTGAAATGCTGAGCCGTCACAAGAACATCAGATAAAAAATGTTTTTCCAAAAACTTTCAAAAGAGAAAAGAATTTGACGCTCGTCAAATCAATCAGAGCCTGTAGCCAAACGCAGAAAGGAAAAACAGAAATGCCAAATATGACAGTACTGTACACAAAACCAGTGAAGGGTAACAAAGTTGTCAAGGCAGGTAGCATGGAGACGTGTGTGTGTGTGTGTGTGTGTGTGTGTGTTACATGGAATAAAATCTAGAGGAAGGGAAGGGAAAACAACAAAGGCTTGTACCAAACTGGGCTCTTCACAAACCTTGATCCACCTCTTTGTGAGGCGACTCGTGCTCTCCGTGACTCCCTTTTGAAATGTTGAACAAGAATCGCATGGAAAGAAATGGTGACGATTAACAATCCGAACAGGACAAAATAAAAATAGAAGTATCTCTCTCTTTCTCATGTTTTCCTCAATTCACACTCATGGCACAGCAGGGAATTGGTGTAACTGACTGTTTCAGGCTGTTTTGGACTCACTCTGGCAGTGCCGTCTTCTTGGAGGCTGATGATGTCCAAATCAAAGTCTCTCCTCAGGCCGTCCGTCTTGTTTAGGACAATGTGCCCCGTCAATCCATCCCACTGTGCCTACAAAAAGAGAGAGAAGCCTTCTGAATTATTTGCAGGTGACTGTTTGGCACACCGAATAGAAAAGGGGTGTTGTTTCTGTGCTGAAATACAACTAAAAATTGAGTTTTTCCACAAAATGATAATTATCATGAAATATAATTGCATTTTTTCATTTCCTAATCGCTGCTTTTATCATAAGAGCTATCATGTATGTATGATTATTTATTTGAATTACAAGACCTGCAGCCAAATAACTTTTTTCAAACAGAGGACTCTTCGCGAAGATCCCAGGGCAGATAAAGTTGACATCAGAGCTGTTTTGTGTGTATTTGTGCCTCTTTTTATAACAGTGTGTTGTCAGCACGTCCCTTTGCTTGCTATCTCTTGCATGCAGAAACGCTGCTAACCGACCCTAAGGGTACTTTTATGTACGCACTGCAGGGATGATATCGGAAATAATAGTATTTCAGCTCAGCAGAACCAGTTCGCTCACCCCGAATAATATTTTTTAATATTGGACATATTTTCAATAATAAAACCTATGCATATGACTCAATAATATTAGGTTTGGTGTAATGATAGAAACAATGAGGATGAAGGATTCTGGATGGAATTAATATACGAAGCAACACTGGAGATTTGCATATTTTATAACAGTCATTGCAAAAGTTATTCTTGAGCTTCACTGGGTTAGTAACTTTAGATATTCTACTCTGCCGATAAAGGAACTTCAAAATAGAAATAAATAAATTGAGAAATTGAAATGAGGTCGGAAATAAAGTAAATAGTTAGTTTTGCATTTGTACACAGAATCATCTGAGAGGGCGAACTGGAGAAAAGCAGCAATGCGGGAGCTTCTGGCCATAGAGCTGAAGCACATCACCAGACAGTTCACGGGGACCATGAAGGACGGATACATTTGGAGCGGCCCATGAAAAATATTTTAAGGGTCGCGGCTTCAGTTGACATAAAAAACAAGTTACGTTCAAGTTAAAAGAAGACCGTACCCCACACACCATTTATGCCACTAACCTGTATTCTTTTGTTAAAAACATATGATTAGGCCACATTACCACCTCAGGCTGACTACTTGTGAACGACCAAAGGCTCCCTGATGCTGCCTCAGCTTTGCAGCAAAGTGGCGCCATTATTTTATGAAAGAGGCTTAAGAAAACAAGCTGGAGCTGGCCACACCCACCCTTCCCCCGCTCAGGCTTGTTTTGGCCGAGAAGCTACAGTATCTGGGAGGGACTCAAAGTAGAGCCACTGCTCCTCCAGCAGCAGCTCTCTTTTGCACGTGAGAGGGTGTATTTGTGATGTCACGAACGCTGACTTTTTGAAACGGTGTTTTAAGCACATAATTCCTAAAATCAAACAGGCAAAAACATCTGGATGGATTTTTTTTTTCATGTTTGGAGTGTTTATAAAGGCAGTAGAGACTTACGTGGCAGCACAAAAACTATGCAAAAGGTGAGCATTTTCTATGTCCCCTTTAAATTCAAGAGATTTTGGGGAGGGCATCTTGTAGAAATTGTTTATAAAAACAAAGCAAAATTTAATGGGGAAAAGAAATAGGTCTAGATTTCATATCCTTCTAAATTAAACTTTTAAACTGCAGAACTTCCTGGAAATGAAACATAAAACACTTTTATTAGGTGTTTGAATCCTTTTCTTGGTAGGAAAAAGTAAACAATTTAGCCTAAATAATTAACTTTATTTTATGGAAATAATTTTAAAACACACAACCTTTTTTCATTAAAAAACTTTAAATTATCATCTTTTATGGGTTCCAGGAGAAAATGATGAGCAGTGAATGACAAAAGCATCCAGTAAAATAAATATTATTCCATTAATGTCATCCACAAAAGCACAATGAACGCTGGGCATTGCAATAACCAACAAAACATGAAAGCACACGTTTTGTAATCAACAGGATGCAATTTCAGAAGACACCACATTCTCCTCTAGCAAGGAGTGTTTTTAATCAAGTGTTGTATGAAATATTTTATTAGTTTTTGCAATCAAAAAGGTTTGGGTCATATGAATAATCAGACAGATGGATTGGTGGCAGAAAACTGAACTAAAACCTGAGGAGGTGAGGGGCATTGAGATGCAGAAATAAAGAAATGCAAGCCATGATGGAAATTGAAGGTATGAGGGATAATATTCCTCCTCATTGGAAGGAAATCCATCTTCAACTGGATTTAGAACTTATAAGAGATCAAAACATTTGTGCATCAAAGGGCTCGTTTCTGTCTGCAGGCATCGAGTCTCACACTTAAGCTGAATCGCATGCTTTTAACTTTTACATAAACAGGTTTTCATGCTGAATCAGAGAGGATCCAAAAACTACCAAAGTATCATTTTGTATAAATGATATATATATATATATATATATATATATATATATATATATATATATATATATATATATATATATATATATATATATATATATATAACACATCATTAAAAATATTCAACAATCACACCTTAAAGGTGTCCTAGAACAATTGAAAACTTTTCTATGAGCCTCTAAAGAACAAGTGACCAGTTGTTAGGGCTCACAATGGTCCCGGAGCTTTGATAAATGGCCAAACACAATCCCATAATAAAGCCTTATAAGGAAGACTAGCTTGCCACGCCCACTCGACCAGTACATAAATATTAAATGAGCTGCATGCTGATTGGCCAGTTTACCCCAATGGCTCTTTAAGATTTTATGTTTTTAAGCGTGTGAGCGCGAGTGTGTGTGGGTGGGTTGTTGGTGCGGACGGACGAGGAAGAGGGCAAGGACCACAAGCTGTGAATCTATTTGGCATTCATTCTGAATATTCCCAAAACATCCTGGCATGTGAGTGGTGCTCCAACATTCTTCTTTTATGCTTTCCTCTCGTTCAAAGACATTAGCAGCGGCTCAGGTTAGCTGTAGTTCAGGCTAGCGTTAGCTGTAGTTCAGGCTAGCGTTAGCAGTAGCTCAAGGTAGCGTGATGAGTAGCTCAGGCTAGTCCTGTTCTACAGTTAGCATTACCGCAACCAGCATTTATATTGCTGACATTGAAGTGGGTTGTACATGCTAATTTAAAGAATTGTGTCTGTTTGATGTGTTACACCAGATTTTCTCAGAAGGAACTATTTTTCCATGGCTCTTACACATTACTTACATAGGGAAGCAGGGCAGAGATGGCACAGACTTTACGTCCGAAGCTCCCTACAGTACACCTTCAAAAATCACAAGGACAAGGTTCTAGTGTCAAAATTACCTCTTTGAACAAGTTCATGAAGCGAGGCCCAAAGCGCCAGGGTTTGTGTCGGTGACACTGGAGTGAGCTTACGGTCATTTGAGTTGCTCGCTGTGACGCGACTGCAACCATGAACACGGCGTCATACATCAGGGCTGCATCTGTCTGCAGAGGATGAGGATACAGGACTTTCACTTACCACTCTACCACTACAGTGTGTTAGATGACTATAAATGACCTTTTTGACTCTTACAGTCATGACTCCATCCATAAGTCCGCTCTCTTGTTTGGGACCCTGAACTCTGTCCATGGACCACTTGTCAATCGTGGAGGCCACCCAGGGGTCGTCAAAGTTCAGCAGTCTGAATCCTGTCATGTTGACCCCGCTGTAGCGGTACGGCTCCAGGTCCAGAGCAAACAAATCCTGTAAACAAGAGAGGAGCAGGAAATGAGGAACAGGAAATACAGAAATGCAAGTTGAATCAAAGCAAGAAAATAGAACGGTGTCATTTGAAACTCCAGACAGTTCCGTTTCTGTCACTTTGATCAAAATTGCAAATCAAACTGAATTTTGTGGAGGGATCAATAAAGTTCACCTGAATCTTCTGTTCTATTAAACTCACCAAAGTTGTGAAGAAAAAGTGATAGTATTCTGTCATCATTCCCATTGAGGAAAGCTGGAGAAACACAAAAGGGTAATTATCTCACTAATAGACTTTGTTTTCTTTAACATCTTTTTCCTACACGTTTAACCTCCTAAAACATTGTTTTTTCTAAATTTAGTATTCATGTAAAAACAAAATGATTACATTAAACGATTGAATAATTAAAACTGCAAACTTAAAATAAAAGCAATAAAACCAAATCTCAAGTAATGATAACACATTCAAACTGAATTGATAATATAGTGCAAGAACTCAAGATGTTAATGAAAATATGATAAAATTTTTCTAATTTGTAAAAAATGAACATTTTGCTATGTTTAAAAAAATTGCAATCATGCATGTTGGAACCCAACACATTAGTTGTTTTTTTTTTGCATCATACATCATCTATAATAAGTCAAACGAGCTCCTCGGGACTGAAAACAATTCTTTTAAAATGCTAATAAGCAAAGAGACGTGCTAGCTCATCCTTTTATGTCCTTAATAGCAATCATCTACAATAAAACAGAAGGCCTGGTAAACAAATTAACAAGGTTTCATATGATTTCCATCAACATTAAAAGACGCAACAATAAACAGACTCATCAAATGTTATGTTCCCAAAGGAAGCATAAACGTGTTGTAAAATTTATGGGACAAAAACATAAAAATAATAAAATGACTGCAGACCTGCTTTAGGAGCTCTGAGGCTGTGCGATAAGAACAGTCAAAGATGATGAAAAACTCTCTGTCCTTCTTCAGCTCCTTCAGCAGCGGCCGAGCGTCTTGGTTACCCGGGGTGAGCTGGCGGATCCTGATCTTCAGGTTTAATTTAGCTGGAGCTTTGATCAGCTCCTGCATCCGCATCAGTCCTGCAACAAAAATAGTAAAACTGCTATTATTCTTTCATCTGTGATGTTTTGTCCCTCTTTATGATGGCAAAAGGTTAGAAACAAGTCTATGTTGTAAAGAACAATCTTTGAGCATCGGTGCAAATCCTGGGAGGAAAAATAATACAATCACTGATTTGTTCGTGGTGTTTGAGCCCTTGCAGCTTCAGTTTCCACATAAAGATCCATGAAGGAATGACAAGTTGTGGTATTCACATGCGAGTGTGAAGTGACTGGGATGAGAGTCAGTTGCTGCAGATCTCTGTCTGTTTTCACTCTCTTAATTCAGCGGACATGCCTTAAACCAACACATTCTCACTCCCAGCGCGTCAAAAACAAACGCTTGGCCAGCCACCCTCCAAGCCAGACCCCCTGACGCCAAAAGTGCCCTTTTTCATTACTTATGTGCGAAAAGGGTTTTTTCCCTTATTTGACTGCAGATCCCAATGCAGCGTAAAACTGACGCAATGGGATGTCCGCAGCCAGGGCAACAAACAAGCTCATTGTACCTCACCTTAACCTTATCCTCTTATTTAACCTTCCCCTCACCCCTATCCTAACCTTAACCATCTTGCTAGCGAACAAGTTAGTGATGTGTCGATTGCTCTAAAAGCCGGCACTATGAAGTGAATGGTGGGAGCCGCCTCGTCATTGGTCGAGTTTGGACTGAGCCAACGAGAGGGGGAGGTTACAACTACCACGGTGGAGGTTAAAAGTTGAGGGTATTTGTAACCTCCCCCTCGCCAGATGGTCTGTTCTAACGTTCCCCTTGGGCGGCAAATACGAAAATTGACAGTCAGACTCTGACTGTCAAGAGTCAGAATGCATGGGAAACAAACGCTTGATCACAGTGAGAGTAACGTTTTAGGTAGCAAGAGGGTTAAGGTTAGGATGAGGGAGAGGGGAAGGTTATAAATAGTGAAACGTTAAGGTTTAGGTGCGGTTAAACAAGCCGGTTCGGTGCCACATCAGCGGATATCTAATCACGTCAGTTTTAAGCTGCATTGGGATCTGCAGTTACAAAAGGGAAAAACCCCTTTTCGCACATAAGTAACGCAAAAAGGGCACTTTTGGCGTCTGGGGTCTGACGTGGAGGGTGGCTGATCAAGCGTTTGTTTCCTACGCTTAGGGTGTGAGAATGTGTTGCTTAAACACCTTTTCTGGAGTCCTTCAGGGTGCATTCTCACCAAATGCCCAAACCACCTCGCTCCTGTCGACATGAAGGAGCAGCGAATCTAATCGGAGTCTCTCCCCAATGTCCAAGCTTTTTACCCTGGCTGAAACCTAATATGTACTTCTCCGTCAGCTCATGTGTGGACTCTAGCACTCGTTTTCCTTTAGGACTGTTCCATCACCTGGGGAGTGTTGTAAAGCAATTCCTTGCAGGACAAGTCCTTTCCTCACTTGTGAACCAGACCCAGAGATACTTAAACTACCCCCAATGAAAGTAGGGCCTTTGCTTCGACCTGTAGTCCATCATTTTCCTGGTCAAGGACCAGCACATCTGAGAAAGGTGGGACTTCAAGTATTGGTGTTTTGTTCTCGAGTGACTCTAGAATGGAACTGGAGATGGACTGGATTGGGGCTTCATGCTCAGTAATGATGACTTTGCCCAAACATGCTGTGGTGAAAATTGAGCAATGTCAAAAGGGAAAGCTTTCAGAGTTAATGTGGATCATAACCTAAACAAAGCGATGCCAGATACAAGCGGCTAAAATGAGCCTCCTTCACGGTGGCCAGGCTCAGCCTCACAGATGAGGTAAGAAGCTCGTTCATCCGGCAGGAACTTGGAGCAGAGCCACTTCTCTTTTGCATGGACAGGAGTTTTCTGAGGTGGTTCAGGTATCCGATTAGGATACTTCCTGATCGCCTCCTTTTGGAGGTTTTTCCAGGCCCATACCCCAGGGAGGACATCCCCGAAGACCCAGAACTCACTGGAGAGATTACTTGTCCTCCCTATTGAAGGAACACTTTAGGATTGCAGAGGCAGCTGGGAGTGTTGACGTGGAGAAGTATGCCTGGGCTGCGCTCCTGGACAGGTCAGCTCTGTGACCCGGTATTTGAAAAGTGGAAAATAACAGTTGGATGCATGGAAGCTTTAACATTTAAAAGTATTATGGAAAATAAAGAAAAAAGATGATCAGGTTCATGCTCATGCAGACCATGTCGTAGCAGAAATAACCAAACGGGGGGTGTTGTTTGTATATTACAGGCCGGTTATTATCTATAGGTCTGCTGCTCTCTAATTTTCTCTGCTCCAGATAAACAGCTCTGGGGCCTCATTTATCAAGCTTGCTTACATACAAAACGGGGTCGGAAAACTGCGTAATCATTCAGTGTATCTTGGCTTGGACAATCCTCTACCGTGCACCATCTTGCCACAGGAGTCCCCCAGGGCTCTGTACTAGGACCTCTTCTCTTTGCCATATACACCACCTCACTGGGTGAGATCATTCGATCACATGGCTTCTCCTACCACTGCTATGCAGACGACACCCAGCTCTATCTGTCATTTCCACCGGACGACCACACTGTCTGCACGAATATCAAACTGTCTCTCTGACATATCAAAATGGATGAAATCCCACCATCTCCAACTCAACCTCTCTAAAACTGAACTACTTGTCATCCCAGCAAAACCATCCATACAGCACAATATCTCAATCCAAAATGACTTCCTATCTCTAGCTCCTTCAAAGGCAGTTCGAAATCTGGGTGTTATGATTGATGAACACCTGACCTTTAAAGATCATGTTGCCTCTGTTGCTCGTTGTAACGTGATGAAGGAACAATTTCTCCCCTCTAACAGCTGTTCTGTTTGACACAGTGCCAGATTGCATGAAACATCCCAAGGTCATGCATTCACTTCTAATGTTTACATTCCAGCAGTGAAGACAGAAGAACGAAGAATGAACTCTTTTCTTTTAATTAACCAAAGAACTCTATTTTAATAAAGCTAATCAAAACAATTGTTAGTCACTAATAACCATGTGACAAATCTGTGAAATGTTATGATTAATGTTTAATAAGGAAATGACATATTGTAGCCACTAGTCAAGCTGATACACAAGATAAATAACCATGACACATTCCGGTCACAAAATCCAATCAGAACCTTCACATCTGAAGCGTGGCAGAGTCTCTGTGTTGTTTATTTCATCTGTCAGCTGTGATTTGTCCAAAATAAAAACACCAAGATTAATAAGTCAGAACAACGCCATTTTGAGTTCAGTATTCAGCCAGCTCTCAAAATCCTCTGATGTTCATCATTGCTAAGTGGAGTACGGACCGGCCATCTGTACTTTTTATTTTTAAGCTGAAAACTGCCAAGCTGGGAAGTCCTGCCGTTGTTAACAACAAAACAACGGTTCCTTCAGAATAAAAGCTGAACTCGCTGACCCAAAGGGGGGTCCCTTTTGACGCTCTGAAGCACCTGCCATTTTTACCTGGAGACTATCCAAAGACTGGTTTGTCGTGCTGAGGACGCTGCTTTGTGGGCTCCAGTACAGAGGAGGGTCCGTGGACCTGGCAGCCTGATCTGTACGGGAGTCTCCCTGACGGGTAATGTAGAACGGCACAGATAGCGTCTCATGTGTTTTCTGACCAAGGTTCAAACGTCGATCAGTTAGGAGCAAAACAACATCTCCCACTCAGACTCGCTTCTCCAGAACGGAGGTTCTGAACTGACATCGCACCAACACACACTCCACCTCACATTCATTACATCAGCATCCATCACTAGTTAGAGTTAGTCCTGTAAACAGTTTAAAATAATTTAGATAATAAATTTTGCTTAAACGTTGGAGGTCTCTCTCTATTCTCTTGTCTCTCAGTTCATGCAAAGTGTATTAAATTTCCCTGTAATAAAAAGGACACTCTTCTGATTTTGAAAGCCCAGGTCCAGAGATGGAGTCCATGCCAGGTATGGATCATTAATATATCTGGTCATTAATTAAATTGTAATACTCTTCATTCCATTACATCGTTCATGCCGCTTTGCGCTGTATAACATACGAAAGATCAGACCATACCTAACACAACATGCCACCCAGCTCCTGGTGCAATCTACTGTCATCTCCCGCCTCGATTACTGCAATGCCCTTCTAACTGGTCTTCCAGGCTGTACTGTTAGACCTCTTCAAATGGTCCAGAACGCAGCGGTGCTTCTGGTCTTCAATCAGCCAAAAAGAGCACACGTCACCCCTCTGTTCATTGAGCTCCACTGGCTACCGCTAGCAGCACGCATCAAATTCAAATTGCTAACACTAGCATACAAAGTCCGAGATGGTACGGTTCCCATCTACCTGAATCCTCTTGCAAAGGCTTACATCTCGGCCCGCCCGCTCCGGTCATCACAGGATCGTCGGCTAGCAGTGACTACACCACGCTCAGGACAATCCAGACTCTTCTCATGCATCGTTCCACAAATGTGGAATGACCTACCAAGCACTACCAGAACTGCGGCTTCCTTTTCAATTTTCAAGAAACTACTGAAGGCCCTGCTCTTCAGAGAGCATCTTCTTAACTAGCACCCTCCCTGCACCCGTCCCCCCTCTCTACTGTCCACTCCTTGTTCCCTACTCTCCATGATTGATGTCAAGTTGTTGTTGTTATTGTTGTTGTTAGCCTCAAGGGCATCATGCCGATTATCACTTGTAAGTCGCTTTGGACAAAAGTGTCTGCTAAATACATAAACATAAACAAACTTTCCACGCAAACTTTGGGATTCATGAAAGAAAACTTAGCGGAAAAATGTGCGTAGCTTTAAGTTGACTAAGGACCTGGCTTACGCACATTTTGGACATGGAGAGCACCTGCAGTGCTGCTGCTGAGAAGGATAAAATTATGAAATCCTGCAGCATTATCACTTGTACCGCTTCGTTTTCACACCGAACAAGACCCCCCACACGCACACACACACACATGCACGCACACACACACACAGCCTGAAGCGCAGAATACAGACAGGGACAGATTGAGACAGAATGTCATGCGTCTGTGACAGTGTGTGTCCTGTCACTGTGACTTAATTGATCATGCGCCCTGGCTACTCATACAGGGGAGATCTTCGTTTGGCTGACTGGTTAGTGCGCTTGACTTTCACCCAGGAGTCCGAGGATCAAATCCTGATTGGACCATTTTTTTTAATATCTGCCAAAGATCTCTCTGAAGAATTCACAACATTAACGGCTTCAGCAACGCTGTGCCACTCTATGGAATTTCTGTAATTTGTTTTGTAAAAGCACTTCCTTTCATTTCCCCACCTCACCCACAGGTACCTCAATTTCTGCTTCTGTGAAATTGTGCTTCCTTGATCTGCCTTGATCTACAGTCGCTATGTCATTGGCAGAGCGCTGCAACAGCCGGCTTATGTATATGCATGAGATCCACAAGGCACTTTGCATTGACTATTTATGGCAGTAAGTGGGCATGTGAGGGCGGGATGTGACTTAAAAGCAGCTTAGAAACATTCTCGTTAGTCTCCGATTTATGAAGCGGGGATTGCGTGCAGCTGTGCGTAGTCCATGTTTGATAGATCACAAACCTGCTTGGCGTAAGTACTTTTTTTGCTGAGCTTAAGTACGGTTTTAGTAAGGATTCCACGCAATGTTTGATAAATGAGACCCCTGCTCATTATTGAAACCAAGCTGGTTGCACCTGTGTTTTAGATTGTGTGTTATAGAGTTGGAATCCTCACAGAACGGTGCAATCACACAGATTTTTAGGATTTGTGATGCGTAAATATCCAAAACTTGATATTCACTACATCGTTTCTATCATGTACACCACTGTGCAAAAACCTTCAACATTGTATTTTTTATAAAAATTACTGCGTTTGGAATGTCACTTGCCTGGGTGAAGTAGTGTATTGAAACTCTACAAAGGAAGGAAACACAGTACACAGAATACACCAAGAAAGCATCTTTCCATCTGCAGGATTGCTCTATTTATGATGCATTTCGTATGTTTATTTTTTGAAAAATATTAGTTCTTAACAAAGAAAATGCCTGTTAATGCAACAGATCTTAGAAGTAAAGTTTAATAATGGAAAATGGGTTTACTGTTCTGTTCTGTTCCTCTAAATGTAACAAAAGCTCTATTGTTGTGCAATAAGCATCTATGGTTCAAGTAGACATGAAAAGTAAAATAAAAATCTCAGAAACACTTCTCCCTACCTGTGCTGTCCTCATAGACCACCGTCAGCTTTCTCCATTTGAAGAAAGTGACCACGTCTAGGATGGCTCTGGCGATGGCGGTGTACTCAGGATACAGGTTGATGAAAAACGTGTCCTTGTTGTCCACTGACGGGTGCTTCCAGCGGGTCTGGATGTGAGGGACCTCCAGGGCGTTGCAGATGGACTGAACTGCACTGACCGAGGAGCTGTGAGAGGGTCCAAACACAGCGACCACGCCCAGAGCCAGCTGGTCACACGCTGGTTGGGAAAAAAAAAACGTTGACTAGCTGACATAGCTAAGGTTTGGAAATAAAATGAGGTTACTGCAGAATTTAAAATGCATTAATTACATTTATTGATTGATTGATTTATTTAAACATAATTTTATACGGAGGAATAACCACTTGAGATGAAACATCTCGTTTTCGAGTGGGTCCTCCTTTACAACAAAACGAAGAACAAAAGTTAAGAGCAAGACAGCAGGGCAAAAATCAAAATCAAAACATTACAACAATCATTTACAGACACACACACACACACACACACACACACACACACACACACACACACACATACACCGTCAAAGGCTCACAATACTTCACCCCACACTACACGACCCCAACTAACAAGGACAAAAATTATAGGACTGAACAACTTGGACAGAATGAATGATGTGGATTGGAGAAGATGCACTGATGAAGACTGGATGACTCCAAACACAACCTGTGTCTGATGTCCTACCTCTTCTGGAAGCCTCAAAGCCATCGAAGATGTTGATCCTCTGGATGTCATAGGTGAGAGTGGCGTTGGGCATCAAAGTCTTGTTGCGGTTGATGTTATTTACAGCAAACTTGAAAGCTAGCTCGTCCATGCTCACTAGCTCGCTCTCCCTGGTCTCAAAAATACCACCTTCACACAGTTAGAAGGGGTTCAGAGTTAGGATTAGAAGTAAAAGGGCACACACACACACACACACACACACACACACACGCACACACACACACACATGCACGCACGCGCGCACACACACACAACATGCACATTATGTACTCTGCAGTAGTTCATCGGAATGGCTGTTTTATATCCAGGTTCCAGTCCCAGCCTGCTGTTAAAAGCTGTGCACTTTATATTGTTTGTTATTATAAACTGAAACTACTTCACTTTAAATTAATTCTTCCATTTAAAGTGGCAGCACTTGCAACATTGAGACATCTAGTGGCAGATTTACAAACTGCAATCAAATGACTGACTAATCCACTCAAATTCCACCTTTGAATGTTGTAAATCATGCAGCTAAACGCCCAAAAGGCTTAATCTAGAGCCAGAGCAGTAGACCCGTGGCAGCGGACTTTATTGTTTTGGCAACGTCAGCTCTCTTCAATCTCCAACAGGACAAGAACCCTCAGCAAACAAACTAAAGACCCTTTAAGAAGAAAGCAAATACTTTGATGGGTGTGCAAACGCCATAAAAAGGTGAATCTGATGTTATATTGGGAACATTTAGCAATTATAGCAGCATTTCACACGCATTTGCAGTGGTCTCTAATAGGAATGATTGGCTTGTAAGTCATACTCTGTGGAAAAGGCCGCGGTGCACCTGTTTCAGGAAGTAGTAGAGACCAAAATCAGAGTTGAATTTTAGACAACAGGATTCGGAGTCGTATTTCCTGATATTTGGACATTTCACCTCTGATTGGCTAACAGCAATGTGACTCAACCACTGAGATTGATGCCTGAAGGAGTTCTGTTGTGTTGTGGAGCTGCCAATTCCAACAGTTAGCTTCTACTAGCTGAGACGTTCTCTGCTGTTACCCGGATGCTAAAACAACAACAGCCTTCCCTGACATGAGTTAAGATAGGTGAGTCCATGAATGTTAAGTGACAATTTGACATAGATCTGTCAGGCTTTTCAAATCCTAGCGTTTCACCGACTATTTTCTATCAGAAGCTAATGCAGGAGATAGGTGTAGGAGACCATGTTCATAGTCAGCCTGCATGAAAAACTCAGAGTGACCCGTTATAATCAAAAATAATAACTTAAAAATAGTTTCTCAGTGAAGTTGACCTTTAATCCTGATCCTAAGGCTGGATTTGATTTTTAGATGTCACCCTGCTTGAACACATTTGATTCCAGTAAAAGAGATTATAGTGCTTCTGCTGAGATTTTCAGTGTAGGTACCACATGTGCTCGGGCTGCCAGATCGGCTTGGGGGCTTGTGCCTGCCATTAATTTCACACTTCATGATTGGCTGGGTGTTGGCACAATGACGTTGAAGGTTTTGGTTGGTCTGGACAAATTACGGAAGTTACGTTAGCATATATGCTCGGGGAGCCACTTCTGGTCAGGGCTGTGGTTCATCTTCATCGAAAACATGAACACATTTTACAAAGAAATACATCATTACCTGTGTAATAGATATTTGGTCCAATAAAGAATCCAGACTGCAAACGATAAAATGAATCAAAATGTCCATAAACTCAAATTTGTTTACTCGCATCGGTAAATGATGTTTTGGGGGATTGATATGAAATGGAGGTGCTAGTTTAAGTCACTATTGAACAAATAACAAGTATACAACAAAAGGACGAAGTATACAGAAGAGCTCAACATGCATAGAAACAGCCAGGTGTTGTTGATTGAGAGCAGTTTTGTTGGTAGAGTCTGATGTTGATTTTCGTGTGCAATGTAGTTTATTCGAGCGGCGTTGCAGTCGTGTGACGTCAACAACAGATGCAATCCTCTGAGCCAATCTGACACCCCAAGAACATCTGGTACCTACAATCACAGACATCATATACGTGGATGCCCCGTGGACTGGAGCTGCCTATTGGAGCTGCCGCAGGAGACGGCCCCCATCTTGGATGGGTCTCCATTCACCCCCAGTGCATTTATTTCTGCTGAGGAAGGTGTTTACCAAACTAAAAAACTATTTTAAATGCTTTTTCCACCAAATCAGACATATGATATGGCATGATAGTTAAATATAAATATCATAAAATAAATGAAAATATAAAACCCCAACAGGTAGGCTAGATAAATCAATAGTAATCACATGTGATTTGTTTTCAATAGTGCACCAGTGGTTGTAACCGTAGGCTGCACAAAAACGGGCACAGTTGCCCACCCTGCGTTGACTCCAATTTGATTTGGAGAGTGAGGAGATCCAACCAATATGGTGGCAACGCTGTTACGCTCTCCAGCGCCTAAAGGGGTGTTCATATATTAATGTCTTTGCCTACAACGGCATCTGAATTAGATGTGTTGTTGCAGGAAGACATCTAAAACATGCAGGGCAGTTTGGTCCTGAGGACAAGGATTAGAAAACACAGATTCAAAGGGTCCAAAGAAGTTAACGCTAGCATCTGGGCTTGTCAATGTGCTTACTGGTATGGTGTGATTGAAGGAGGCAACCTTTTAACCCTCCCACTATCCTAATGGGTGTGACCCCTTGAGGAAAGTTGACCATTGAGCAGGGTTGATGGTTTATCCCTTGGGTCCATGTGGCAGGGGTGAGGAGTGAGCACCACCTCACCCCTGCCACATGGACCTCAAGGGATAAACCATCAATCATGCTCAATGGTCAACTTTCCTCACGGGGTCACCCATAAAGACAGTGGGAGGGTTAATAATTTGGTTCAAAAAGGGAACAACTGCTTTCACTTTTCAGAATACCATAAATAATCTGGATCTAAATGAAATAAGACAAGCAACAGGACATAGACTGGGTCAATATTTACCAAAACCTAATGATGTAAGTTCAGCCGTGTTGCTTTCAGAGTAGAGGGTAAGCTGCAGATGGGTGGCGGTAATCAGATGCAATTAAAGGATTTTCAGTGTGATTTAGTTTATTGAAAGAAAGGACCATTTGGCAGGCTGAGTCTGGCACCTTCAAGGATTTATTAATATTAAGTTAAAGAGGAAATCTAAAATGAAGCGAATGATGCCTTGCTATCGATCAACCTGGTAATCATTGCAAACTCATTACTAACCAATTAGTCGTCCATCCATATAGAAAACAAGAGGAAACATTCAAGGCAGATGACAAGCAAGTTCATGCCGAGGTCAGACTGGGTAATGCACAAAGACATTTTAAATAATACTAAAAAAAACTCTGCAACTGCATGCCAGAGTCCATCCTTAAAGGAATGTTAAATGTCAAAGTTCATGGTGTTAAAATATCCTGAAAAAGTGAGTAAATTCTTTCAAATTTATTTTTTAAATGTTGCCAAATGTCAATAAAGAACCTCAGAAACGGGGTCATGAAACTGGACAGGAATCCAAGAAACAGTTGCAAATCTACAACCGCCTGTCTAAAAATAAATAAATTACTTAAAGTCTGAACATGGCAACGACCCTGCTAAAGTCCAGACAGCAGCATGATTGAAAAGCTGTTGCATGACCTTAAGGGAGCTCTGCATTAAAAAACTAACAAACGGATTTCATACATTATTAGGAGGGGATGATGTGTCTCCACAGGCATTTCAGAGGCTGACAAGGTAATTTCTAACGTGATTATTTAAAGTTTTACTGGTAAAGGTGGCTCTACAAGGCAGGCGTTTAGGCTCAGTTATGGTCTAAAGCAGTGGTTCCCAATTTTTTCCTTTGAGGACCCACTTGCTCGTGTCCAAGACAAGCCAGGACCCCCAACCGCAACTCCTACATGCATACACACGTTTTATGTGATCATTTACAGACTTTACACAGACATACGGAGTTATGACTTTTATATGGAGTTCTGATTGTACTGTAGGGTGTATTGTTTGGAATTTATAAATGTCGTTTTTACAAAATAAATCTTGCTAACCTCACAACTTCAGGAAAGACAACATTGTGGGGGCACCCTGCAATCTTGTGGGGACCCTCAATTTGGGAACCACTGCTCTATGATGGATACAAACTATGCTTATGGAGTTCTTTGCACAAAATCTCTCCAACATAAAATGATTTCAGTAGCTCAATTCTTGACATTTTCAGTACTTTCCAGAATGAGTCGTCTCAGGGCTCTGACACAGGCTGTTGCTGGCCACGCCCACCCACCTCCTGTTCTGACTGCTATAAATGCAGAAGATCCGATACAAGGGAGGGGCTCGGAGTAGAGCCGCTGTTCCTCCAGCATCAACAGAGGAGGGGTGGTTATGTGTTAATATCCCCATTTGTGACATCACAATCTGGAACTTTATGAAACAACTCGTAGGCACACAACTCCTAAAACCAAACACTGATAGAAAATGAATGAATCTTTTTTATTCATGTCTTGAATGTTTATAGAGGCAGTGGAGACCTGCAAAGCAACAGAAAGGGATACTTTTTTTCTAGCAAAGACCAGATAATTTAAGAACTTCAGTTAACAGAATCAAGCACATTCTTTTGTAAGACACTGCTTGATATTTTCATTTTCCTGCAACCTGAGTTCATATAGTTAATTTCCTACATTTCTTTGCTATCAACAAACCAAATGGATTAACAGGTTACAAACAACGACACAGGTTTATCGAGCACTTAGCTTCCCATAAAAGCCCGACCTACATCAAGTGCTGTGTTTCTGAAAGAGGGAGAGGGGTTTTCGATGCAAAGATGAGTGCACATTTCTGACTTTCACAGAGAGCAGACCCAAGGCTGAATCTGACATGCAACCTGACCGGCTGTCAGCATGCTTTGAAGAAAAAATGCTGTTAAATCAGATGGGTGAAATTGCCTACAAACTCCTCATCAGCATCCTGTCAGGCTGGTACAAATGATGTTAAGAGAGGAATCAAAGGCCAGATGAAATGGGGGTCATGTAATTGCACTTATCGAGGTAAAAGGAAGGAAATAAATAGACTGTAGCAGCTTGTTGTTGAGTTTTCAAACTGCTTTTTTTAAGATGAGTCAGAGATGACTCAGTAATTGCTCATGTTTTGCATTTTTA